TAGTCGAATTTGGAGATTATAGATTCCGGTATCCAAACGATGCAGTGTGCAAGCATCTTTCAGATTAATTCTTGAGGGGGGGCCACGGCTTAAGGCATAAGTTATTGAACTCTGGAAGAGTGAAAAAGGAAAGGAAAAGAACATATCGGTCTCGTGCTAGACACATTAACAGTTAGGAAAACAAAATATCTTAATACTGCTGTAATGGTCTCCCTTCTCTCTGCCTCATTTTTTTTACCCTCCCCCGGTTGTATAATGAGTATTTTTTTTTGTAGTGCTACTGAAAATCCGCACTCTTCTGCCCCAAACACCCCTCCGGAGCTGGCCTACAGGAGTGTTCCCACCTCTTCACCGGATTCTGAGTGCAATAATTTCCACCTTAAAGCCGCATGGGTATAGCGGGTTGCAATTTACTCGCACGCCCTACCGCTATAGTCCTAGGCTCTTGGTGCACTATCAAGCCATTTGTATAAGTTAACCTTCATAGACGCGTGATATATTTCCTTAAGATGCTACACAACAGTTCTAATTTCCCAAGGTTTTAGTCGAGGTTTGCCTGCTGAGCTGCTCAAAAAGTCTGGATGAGGGAGCCTGTACAGTCCAATTAGTTGACAGGGCTCCGGTTGGCATGCATCTGTCCGAAGTTATAGGTATCTACGGCCTAAATCAGCAGACTTATGTTGTTTATTCTTTATATGGAAGTAGGGGGAAACAGCTTGCACTACTATACATCCTAAGCCAATTAGCTAGCTTCGGCTGCCGTAGGCACAGGATGTGCGCTACTACAAGCATCTCACTTTTGGGGCTTGCACTGGGCACCTGTGATCTCATAGCTAGCGTTCCAACAGACTGCAGCCTGGCGGTGTGCTTCTAGTGCTTGGCGTGGAAATGATTGGATACTCGCTCCCTTGTGAAACCTCAATGTTACAAATAACGAAGCGCTCCCGGGCCCACTTTCTACAGGCGTCTACTATTTCAAGGGCGCCACCGGTATTATTATTTCAAGTCTCCTGTTTCCTCAAGTCCTCCGCTTCCTCAACCCCGAAAATCCTATTAACTCCTTCGCTACCACTCACTCCGGCACCTCTCGCGAACGATAGTGCTCTAGGAATAGCCAAAATGAATCCAGCACATCAACAACATCCTTTTCCTACCGCTAACGTAAACTGTTTTAACGTAACAAATAGCTACAACACAGTAGAAGCTGATCATAGCTTAGAGGTCCTGAAGTGGCTATCACCGTTGGAACCGCGAGAACGGCACCACGATGTGAGCACCCGTAGACTCGACGATGTGGGAGATTGGGTCCTCCAGACCGACGAGTTTGTGAATTGGTGCAGTGTCGAGGACAAACCGGCCAACCATGTCTTCTTCTGCTACGGCAGTCCTGGAGTCGGGAAGACATATCTTAGGTAGGAAAGCCAATTCCCCTAGAAGTACATGAGGGCTAAGTGGCGGCAATGTTAGCTCACTAGTGATCGACACACTATGTGATGAGATAGATGCCAAAAATGCCGCTGTTGCGTGTCTATACTGCGATTTCCATTCCCAGAAAGAGCAGACTATGGCCCACATTTTAGGTGCACTCTTGAAACAAGTGGTAGGCAGATTAGAGCAGATCCCAGAAGAAATAGACGCTGCTTTCTACAAAGCAAAAGGTCAGATTGGCGGTCGATGTCTTCGAGCCCCTACCATCCGGAAGATGCTACTTAATTCTATCAAGCTATTACAAAGGACATTTATATGCATTGACGCGCTGGACGAGCTCCGGGCAGAGCACAGAGCAGAGCTCTTGGAAGTCTTACGGGATGTCGTTCAGGAATCTCAAACCGCTCGGATATTCCTTACCGGAAGGCCCTACATTTGGGGGGAGGTCAACATGTATTTCTCCCGAGGCTTAGAGACCATGTCCATCACACCCACTCAAGAGGATATCAAGAGGTTCCTCAGCATGAAGTTAAATAGGGACCCACACCCCGATGCAATGGATGAGCATCTACGAGCAGATATCATGAGATGTATTCCGGAAACTATCTCCCAGATGTATGCAGCAGTAGTATCCAGGAGGAGATTATGTGTGGGGCTATTCGCTGACGCTATTGCCCAGATTTCTTCTAGTTGCTTTAAACATCGACGCAATTTTAGCTCAAGTGACGATCTACAAGAGAAAAGAAAAACTCGATGAGATGATGAATGGGCTCGGCTTAGAGGATGCATACGGCGCGACCATTGACCGAATCCGCGAACAGAGTGGTAATGAATCAAAAATCGGGATGGACTTACTGATGTGGACATCTTGTTCTGAGCGGTCGTTACGGGCCGACGAGTTATGTCACGCTCTGGCGGTTGAGATGGGGTCTATGGATCACAACCCCAATAACGTTCCCTCAATACGGACACTATTGGGTTGCTCCCTCGGACTTGTCACAATTGACGAGCAGACATTGACCCTCCGTCTAATCCATTTTACTTTACAAGAGTATCTTCGGAAACATCTCACCCTTTTCCAAAGACCCCACTCAACAATTGCGGAAGTTTGCTTGACCTACCTCAACTTCCAATGCGTGAGGAACCTGTCGCCTGCCCTGTGCGCTGCCCCAAAATCTGCCCCATTTCTCAACTATGCTTCGTGCTACTGGGGATCCCATTCAAAAAGGGATACCACCGAATGCGTGAAATCACTGGCACTCCAACTTCTAGATCAATATGATCATGTATCCGCCAAACTCCTTTTAATAAATGAGAATATTTGGCCACCGTTTGGGCATGACCAAAAATCCCCCGAGAGATTCACTGGGCTCCACTGCGTGGCATATCTCGGGGTTTATGAAATCGCAATTGCCTTGATTGAGATGAGGACCTGGAACGTCAACGAGATCGATTACCTACATCGTACGCCATTAATATGGGCTAGTATATATGGGAACAAGGGGATAGTGAAGATGCTTTTAGAGCAAGCAGAAATCAAACCCAACGTGCCAGATACAGATTATGGTCGATCGCCTCTCTCGTGGGCTGCCGAGAAAGGACACCAAGGTGTAGTAAAGCTACTCCTGGGGAACGGAGAGGTCAACATCGAAATGGCTGACACTGTGTATGGGCAAACGCCGCTGTCATGGGCTGCTCAGAGTGGGCATGTGGATGTAGTAAAGCTACTTTTAGAACGGGGCGCTAAACCTGATAAGACAGACATCAGATATGGTCGAACACCGCTTTCGTGGGCCGCCGAGAATGCCCGCCAGGATGTAGTAAAGCTGCTCCTGGCAAATGGGGAGGTCAATCCTAACCTTGCAGATACTATGTATGGTCGGACGCCACTGTCATGGGCTGCCAGAAAGGGGCATAAGGATATAGTGAGGCTGCTTCTAGAAAGGGGAAAAGCCAACCCCGAGATAGCAGATACGTTCCACGGTCAGACAACACTCGCATTGGCCGCTGAGAAGGGGGAAGAGAGTGTGGTGAGAGTCCTCTTAGAGTTTGGTGCAAACCCCAACATACAAAGCATAAACGGCCAAACACCAATCTCGCATGCTGCCCGAAAGGGTCATGAGAATGTAGTAAAGGTATTCCTAGAGCGCGGAGATGTCCATCTCAACACTGCAGACAATTTCTTCGGCCTTACACCAATCACGTGGGCTGCCTCCAGCGGGCATAAGGAGATAGTGAAGCTGCTCGTGGAACGAGGCGGCGTAGATCCAGAACTGGCAGATTCTCGTCGCCGAACCCCACTCATGTGGGCTGCCCAGCAAGGGCATAAGGATGTAATAGCGCTATTTTCAGAGTGGGGAAAGATCAGTCACGTCGGACCAGCCGATAGCCACGACGGAACACTCCGTCTCTTAGGTCAAAATACGCAGGAAGGAGGAACCACTGCCGTAGCGACAACAGGACGTTGAAATAGACACAGAAAACGACGCCAATCGGAGAGAACTTCTCGAACGGCTTTAGCTATCCCTAGTAGGTAATAGAAAATGCCACTATCGCACATTGTCTACCCGAGCTGGCCCTCAGACACCACTGTACCTCTACCGCTGCTGCACTCCTACGCCTCCACCTCGAACACATCTGATAACCCTGCTCTTGTTTGCGTTATCAATGTTGCAATCCCCTTGGTGCCCTCGAGAACTTTAACGATAACCCCCAGCTACAGCTTCTCACCACCCTTAAGCCTCGTTTCTCGTAGATGTATGATAACATTTTCTTTTTTTCCCCTCCAGGATCCCAGCTACAGATAAGGTTAGCCAATGACTCTAGCTCTTGTGGGAATGCAGATACTCCTAAGAGTGAATTATATAGGGGGGAAGTATGGGAAACAATTTAGACTACGCAGGGAAGCAGAGGGGGCTCGTTTTAATTCCTATTATATTAGGCGTTTGTTTGGGTTACGGAGCGGTTGCCCTTCACACGAGTCGGTTCTTCTATTGAATAATAATTATAAGGGATAAATATGTAAACCGTCAGTTTGTGAGTCGCTCTTGCCGTTGGAAGGGTGTGGAATTTTCCACAAAATTGTGAAGACAAAAAGCCCACTTCCTCTCTTTTAAAGCACGCAATTGGAGCGAAATTGCCTATAGGCAGACTTAGTGATCGGGTGATATCCTATGACGGGAGGGGCATCCCTCGTTTACTACCTATCCAAAGTGGATCTTATGGTCCATGAATAATAAGAGGATCAATCCCCATGGAAGTCAACTCGAAGAGACCTGCGTGAAAACTGGCAACGACGTATGAGTACTATATTTAGGGACGAAGACCACTGACAAGGTATAGTACCGGCACTATCATACCAGTCCAATGAAAAATGAAAAATGAAGAAATAAAGAAAAAAGACCAAAAAAAAGCAAATAATCACCCCCATTCCTCCCCGGAATGACCGCCCTCCCCGCTCTCATTCTTATCGTCGCACCCTATTAGAATGGCAGATGGGTGATTGTTCGCCGTTGTAATCCACGACAATGCAGGAATACCCTACCACGTAATTCTCGATAATCCTTCCATATTCCGTTGTGGTGTAACGGCTAGCATCCGTCGCTTTCATAGCGAACCGACGAGATCGGGGTTCGATTCCCCGCAACGGAGACGTTCTTAACTGTTATTATGACAAATTTTTGATTCTCTTTTTTTTCTTCTTTTAGGAAGACAAGCGTCGCTAATCCAAGTATAATACTACCATTTTTTGCATGAGCTTTAAAATTTCCCGCGCACGCTAGAAGTTGTCAAGAGTGCTATACTGTGCGTAATATTGATAGCATGGAACTAAACAAAAGTGAAACGGGGGAACAGAACAAAGGAATGGCAAGTAATTTCCATAACCAGGCAGAGCCAATATCATGGCAGTCATAGGGAATCAACACGATCATCATATCTGTCAAAAATTTAACTTACAAGAAAACGAAATACACAACCCCCTCCATATCTTTTCTATGTTACATACAGTACGGCACTCATAGGCCCAGATACCGTAGTACCGGAAAAAAAAAACTCCAACGAGTCTCCATCAGTCCCATAAACACCCGCCCAAAAGTGTGAAGCGAAAGGAGAAAGAAGAAAAAGTACAGAGGTATAAAACAAATACAACTACTCAAATCCAACAGTATCCCTCTTGGTAAAGACTACTCCAGTAACCTTCCCAACCTCAACAACCTTGATCCAGCCCTTTCCGCCGTCCCTTTCTGCCATGACTCTGACAACTTTCTCCGCATCTTCCATTGATATGGGATTCCTGGTGCTCTCCTTGATTCCCTCAACGACGCTTCTCATCGTCATATTTGCCCCACGCCCAGCTAGGCTCTTTAGGATTGGCTCGATCTCTGGGATGCGCTGCTCGGCAGCAGCGCGGGCTAGGGCTTCCTTTGATGGCGCCTTCTTTCGGGCTGCGGCTGCTGCTTCGGCTTTAGCACGGATGCGGTCGTATAGTGTTGACGTGCGGGAGGAAAGGGGGGCGGCGGGGGTGGTGGATTTGGGAGAAGGTGCAGAGGCAGGTTTACGGAGTCCTTGGAGGATGGCTTGGTTTTTGCTACGCAGGACGCTTTGGATGGTGGCAGCTTGGGAATGCGCGGCGATTTCGGCGAGGGGGACTGTGGGCGGCTCATGAACGGAAGCTTCTTTCTTGGTCACTCCTTTTTCTTCCTCCTTATCGTCCTCCGTGAATGAGCTTGGTGGAGTAATGAGCTGTGGGTTTGAGTCCTCCCTATGCCTGTGGAAGTATAGCCATAGTTTTGCTTCGAATTCCTTTTTGAGTAATTTCGTGCTGACTAGTTTTCGAGCCTTGTTCTCAATGAAGTCGATGCATATATTTCCAGCACCGTAGTCAACCAGCTTAAAGCCATCGCTACCTGTCTTTCCTCCATAGTGGGATATATATACTATCCGCCGTAGGTCGTCGAAACTGATATTCCTGCGGGCAAGCCGTTCCACGTGAAGTTTTATTGCGGAGAATGAAGCGGGGTGCGTGCCATTATTATGATGTGCCTTGTGCAAAAGCAGGGCCGTTAACAACGAGCCATGAAGGGTCTGTAATAGGGCCAAGTCTGCCGGAAGGCTCTCCGATGACGAGGAAGAAGCTGGAGGAGATGGTAAGCGACAGGTAGCAGCGGTACGGGTAGCAGTAGGCTTCTTAGCGGGCGGAGAGAAAAGATCATCTATGGCGCGCTTCCGTTTCTTTGCTGGAGTAGGCGCAGGGGCAGGTTCAGATGTAGGGATAGCTTTAACCACCGACTCCTCCGCTTTGACAATGGGAGACTTGATCTCAATCGTAACAGGTACAAGTACATCTTCATCTCCGTCCTGAACAATTTTCAAAGATATTTTCTCCGGCTTGATATCCTCCCTTTTGGCCTCCGGTTTCGATGGAATCCCCGGTTCAGCGGCAGCAGATTTTCCAGTAGAACTAACGCTTTTTGAGACCTTTTTTGTGAAAGACTGTAATGTTCGAGTACGTGCCTGGGAGATGGCAGCGGCTTTGCGTCTAGGAGGCATAGTGATAACGGGTACTCTATCCCTTTGCCTGTATTTGTCGCTTTTTAGTTCCTTATGATATTCAGAGATTAAGGTAGTCCAGGTGTGGCAATCGTGTAGATGCTCTCTACTACTCAGGTCGCAGCAAGAGCTTCCCGGACATACCCCTTTGGCAAAGATCTGAGGTTAACCGCGCTGAAAAGGTCCGAAATCTACACACAGATTAAGGGATACAGAAGAACTGGTGATGGCAATGCGTATAGTGTACAAACTCGTGGCTAGAAGTGTTGTAAGAGAATAAAAGGTAGAATGGAGGATATGAAGAATAATACTCGGGAGAAGGAGGGATAGAGAAGGAGGAGGTAGTGGCAATGGTGGGGAAGGAAAAGCTTTAGTGAAAAGGCTTTGTTGACACGCGTTGCTGGGGTCACCATTCTCCATAAGAAAGCCTAATCGAGACATCGGGCTAAAGTGCAAAAGGGTAACGCGTTGGATTGGCGTTCAATTCGCGGCTTGGGTTATTTCACGTGACTTCCCTATTGATTGATCGTGGTTGATGATAAGTCTGAGCCGTCTGTTTCGTACTCGTGTTAGTAAATGTACCTGCGCACCTCTCGAGATATTAATACTATTCCCTCTTCCCCTATTAATAAACTGTTACGCTGTCCTGTGAAGTGAGTTACCAGAACCACCATTCTTGCCTCCTCTTAGGACGTAGTGTCGGTGGATTCCGGGTGCAAAGATAAACATTTAAGCCTCGATTAGATTAGATGTAAGTTAGGTGTTCATCAGCTGAGCAATGAGGGCTACAAATTTTTTGTTTCTTCTTTTCCGAGAAGGCGTGAATTGTTCTCTCAACAACCTGGATAGCGCAGTATCGCATCCCTTCCTCCTCTCCTCCTCCTCCTCCTCCTTTTCCTTCTTCTCTTTCCCCCTCCTTCACTACTGCGACGACCGCACCGGACTCTGGCCCGCTTCATCTTCTCATCTCGTACCATAACTACTGCCACCCACTTCCAGGATACAAAAAAACAATGTCCGCTGTGCGGTGCCTCTTCAAAGGCCTTTCCTTTGCAAGGCCCGCTTCCCAGACTAGGTCTCTTTTGGTATGAGAGCCTTATTTGCTTTTTCCTACTGCAAGAGAGAGAGTGGAAGATTATTTAAGCTCATGCCAAACGTTCACTAGATTCAAGGAAATAGGTTCTACTCTGACAACAAGGTCGCTCAGTTCAAGGGAACTAAGAATGCAAATGTTTGCCTACCCCCTTCCAGGTCTCTGGGAAGATGAAAAATGAAAAATGAAAATGAAAAAAATTGCAGGCTGCTGCATCGACGGTCGAGATATTTTCTGGTTGAAGTGATATGAACCTATCACCTCTCCGAGATGATAACGGGCTCTACCCCGCCCCGTCCGACCTAGAAAGTTCACAACGTTGATTCATTTGATTGAACTAGGGAAACTATACTGTAACATTTATCGAGGGAGACGGTATCGGCCCTGAAATTTCCAAGAGTATTAAAGACATTTTTTCTGCGGCCCAGGTGCGTACCGGCATCATGCCTCCGAAAATTTTAGCATGACTTTTAAAATAATATGCGCTTCCTTTATTTTTGAGCGAGATTTTCGGGAATCTCCATAGGTCTTGTGGCGCAAGCGGCTAATGTTTGCACAGACACCTATCGAATGGGAATCAGTCGACGTCACTCCAATTCTCAAGGACGGAAAAACTACGATTCCCGACGCAGCAATTAGCTCTGTGAAAAAGAACTTGGTTGCCCTTAAGGGACCTCTCGCTGTAAGATTTTTTCCCATTTCTCTTCTTCGGCACACACAATTGATAGTTTTACAGACTCCTATCGGCAAAGGGCACGTCTCCCTAAACCTTACTCTTCGTCGTACATTCAATCTTTTCGCCAACGTTCGCCCTTGTCGTTCGATCGCTGGTTATAAGACCGCCTACGACGACGTCAACACTATATTGATCCGTGAGAACACCGAGGGGGAATACTCCGGTATTGAACATGAGGTTGTCGAGGGCGTGGTTCAGTCTATTAAACTGATCACACGCGAGGCATCTGAGAGGGTTCTGAGGTTCGCATTCCAACATGCTGAGGCAATTGGTCAAAAGAAGGTCCGCGCTGTCCACAAGGCGACAATTATGAAGATGTCGGATGGACTCTTTTTGAGCACTGCTAGAGAGGTCGCAAAGGACTTCCCTCAAATTGAGTTCTCGGAGGAATTGTTGGACAATGTCTGCTTAAAGGCATGCACTGTTCTCTAACCTCTGTTAAGTTACACTAACCATCTCAATAGATGACCACTAACCCCAACCTTTACCGAGATATCCTTCTGGTTATGCCCAATCTCTATGGAGATATTCTTTCCGACATGTGCGCCGGGTTGATCGGTGGTCTCGGATTAACTCCTTCCGGTAATATCGGAGACGAGTGCTCAATTTTCGAAGCCGTGCACGGCTCTGCTCCTGATATTGCTGGCAAGGATCTTGCCAACCCTACTGCCCTTTTGTTGAGCTCTGTGATGATGCTCCAACACATGGGCTTGAACGGTTATGCTAGTAATATACAGAAGGCGATCTTTGATACATTGGCTGAGGGCCAGGTATTAACCATGGACTTAGGCGGTAGCGCCACCAGATCCCAGTTCACCGAGGCCGTGGTTTCAAAGTTACGTGGGTAACGTGTGCGATATTCTATTTTCTTTTCGTTATGGGGGAGATATAGGGGGGCCTGTAGATGGGGTGTCCATACCCTTTTAACTATTTTTTTTTCTTTAGTTTTGGGAATACATGGCTCATGAACTATGTAAACGGGTGGCTCATTTTTAGTTTTCGCTAGGCGAGAATGATCGAGTGATATTACATGATTCATAGCCCCGGTTCCAACGATGCACCAGAGAGCGAGGTGATAATCAGTGACTGACGCCTACGCGCTCTTAGCACTAGCCTAGGAGCTCCCCATTTCCCCTTCCTCTAGCAATATATCACCTGCCCAACGTCACGAAGAATACTGTAGCTCCAGCCCCACAGCTCTAACCAACTGATCCTTCCTCCGCAGGTCAATTCCAGCCCCCACGCTAAAAAGCAAATGCTTCAACCTCCCTT